CAGATGTGCATCAGAAAATGCTAGTGAGGGCTGACCGGGGGAGTGCAAGTAATTATTAATCATTATTATGTATTGGAGGGTGTCAGTCTTTGGGTCACTGTTTAAAATTTCCTTGTTGTTTTGGGGCTTTAAGGCAGCACCTTACTCAGGAGTACTGTGCTGTGAGTTGGAGCCTGGGATTTCCACCCATACTGTCAGCTCAGTTCAACTTATGTAGACAGTTGCTAGACATTTCACATATCAAAAACAAATTGCCCAATTTTTGACAGGAAGGAGAATAACTTGCATTTTTTGTCGTGTCTTTTGCACCCTCGGTATATCCCACGAGATGTACAATGTGTTGAAGTGTTGGCGTGTTGTAATGTAGAAAATGAGGCAGCTACATTTTGTACAGCAACCTGCCACAAATAGTAACATGATAATGACCAGACAATTTGTGTTAATGATGTTGGTTTACAGAGAAACAATGGGCAGGACCCCATTGAGAATGCCTTTGAAATAATGCAGTGGGACTTTTTATATTCACCTGAGAGGGATGATAGAGCCTCTTAATGTCTCATTTAAAGGAGGGCATCACTGACAGCATGGTGTTGATGAGGTGAAGTCTGAGATTTGGACACCATGGGTACACCAGGGAGGGGAAAGTGATGATCACATCCTGGTCCATGTTCAGGGACAGGAGGGTGTGACAGAGGGGATACAGAAGGTAAAAGGGTGTGCATTCTCACCTCCTGCAGCTGTCCAACAGGTCTGAAGTTTGTACAGCTTGAATGGATGAAAACAGGAGCTGCACGGAGGATTAACAAACTGACCACAGCTTTGTGGTGCTTGGGACCATTCAGTCTGCGGTGGTGAGGGGTGTGAATAGGAACATTGTTGTAGCGGGGACTGTATGGTGAGGGAGACAGAAACTGCAAATGGGAGGGTGAGTCCTGAGGGCTGTGTTGCCTGTTGCGGGCCTAGGGTGAAGGATATCTCCTCAGAGCTGGACAGGACCTTGAAGAGAGAGGGGAAGCATCCTGTTTTTAAAGTACCAGTGGCATTGATGAGGCTAACAGAAAGGTTTTGCTGAATGAGTATGAACATCTAGAAACTAAATTAGAAAGCCAAACCACAGAGGTGATGATTTCTGGGTGACTACAATCAGAGAGTTGAATGCATGGTGTGGGAGAAGTGGGTCTTGATTCGTGGGGAACTGGGGAAAGGAGGGGCTACATTGTTGGGACAGTGACCTACACTGGGACTAGAGTTCTGAAGAATCATAACAAGGAGTGAATAAACCCTTCCAAATAGAAGGACAAAGGCAGCAGATACATGGGAACACCAGCCCCAGCTGCAAATTCCCACCAAGTCCTTCACCATCCTGACTTGGAAATATATCACCGTTCCTTCACTGTTGTTGGTCCAAAAACCCTGCATCTCCGTCTCTTAACAGTATATTGGGTGTCCCTACACAATATGGACTGCAGAGTTAGAAGAAAGTGGCTCACTGACATTTCTCAAGGGCAATTAGAGACAGGGCTGACCCAGCCAGCAACACGCACATCCCACAAATGAAGAAACAGGCAAATGTATCTAAGGGGAAACTAGAGAAACACATGAAGGTAAAGAAATACAAATTATACTAATGAGAGGAGGTGGACTCAGAGCACAAGCATCTGCAGAGATGAGAGATAACAAGGTGTAGAGCTGGATGAACACAGCAGGCCAAGCAGCATCAGAGGAGCAGGAAAGCTGACGTTTCGGGCTTAGACCCTTCTTCAGAAACTACATCTGCAGAGATTGTGCTTTTTTGCTCTCTGCATTTTCTATAAAAGTCTAAGCCACAGTTTTGCAGGTCGCAACCGGGCATTCTGCCCATGGTGGTTACTGCCACCTATTGTCAGTAACCATGTTTGCAATCACTCCCATTTCCCAGTGCTGTATCATATTTAAGATTCCCTCATATATTACTATCTACTGGCTCAAATCTTCTGTCTCTGGATTGTTGGCGATGGGGCATACATTGGGAGATTAGCGCCTGGACCCTGTGGAAATCCTGACACAAAACACCTGTGGAAGTTTCCTCGGGAGTTTAAGCATCCAGTGAGCTGACTCTCCGTTGTCTGGGACCCTCCACAACGGGCGATGACAATGAGCCTGGAGTGGAGACCCTGGAGATAGACAAACAGGACACATTTGGATACTCCCATCTCAAATGTTACACAGTTTACTGCCTGAACTAACAGCCAGCTCACTCAACTGAGCACCATAGCTGGCCCCCAGGACCTAACCCATCCCCATCTATCAACCTTGATTAGGTCCAATTACCCTCCCAATTATCACCCCCTAAACACACACCTGACTATCACATGCCCCCAAACGCAGACCTGACTATCACACATTCCCCCAAACACAGACCTGACTATCAC